CTGTGTATTTTTTTAATGTTGCATTAATGTTTTTTTGTACCATTATACTCCCTCAACAACTCTTCCCACCCTCCTCCCCCCCAAAAGCCTTCCTTTTTTTTTTTTAACAAATAAGTATAGTCAAGCAAAATAATTCATACAGTGGTCACGTCTGAAAATATGTCTTGATAAGCAACTCTAGTCCATCACCTCTCTACCAAGAAGAGGAAGAATGCTTCATCATCAGTCTTTTGGGGTCATGATTGGTCATTGTATTGATCAAAGTTCTTAAATCTTTCAAAGTTATTTTCTTTAATATTGTTATCACTGTATAAATTGTTTCCCTGGTTCTGCTCACTTCATTCTGTATCATTTCATATATGCCCTTTCAGAATCTATCCCTTGAAATTCTTGATCTTTCATATTGCCAGAAATAATAATAATAATTATTATTATTGTTGTTATTATAATTATTTTGTTGAGGTCTATCAAGTGACCTGTTGGTAGTTTGGTATGGCACTGAATATGTAAATTACTTTAGGTATTTTTTTATTGCGTTGGCATGACCTAACCATAAGCAATTAATGTCTTGCCATTTTTTTTTATGTTTACCTTTATTCCTATAAAGTGTTTTGTGGTTGTGTTAATATAATTCATATGTGTCTTGGTAGGTTGACTCCCAAGTATTTTATACATTCAGGGGATATTTTGAATGTAATTTCTTTTTCTATATCCTCTTGCTGGTAATTTTGTTGATAGCATAGAGAAAACTGATGATTTTGGACATTTGTTTTATTTCATACTACTTTACTGAAGTTAATGTTTTAATTAATTTTAGTCGTCTCTCTAGGGTTCTGTTAGTGTTGTATCATTCTGCAAAAACATAATTTTGTTTCTTCTTTGGCTGTGCTATTTTCTCAATTTCTTACTCTTGTCTTATTGCTATGCCTAGGATTTCTAAAACTATTTTAAATCCTAGTGGCAATAGTAGACATCCTACCTTTTCCTGGAGACTTAGGTAAGATCAGGATCTTCTAGTATTCCTCCATTACAGCTCTTGGTTTTAGATAGACACTGTTTAACATATTAAAGAAAGGTCCATTTATTGGGTGTTGTGTTTCGTTGTAAGCTTTTTCTACATCTATTGATAAAATCATGTGATTTGTATTGCTTTGTTATTAATTTGGTCCATTACTTTGGTAGTTTTCCTAGTATTAAACCAATCCTACGTTCCTGGTATAAATCTCCAACCTGCTCTCAGCATCTAATCTTTTTCCTCTTATCTTGCAGCCTCTTTGCTAATATATTTCTCAATATTCATAAAAGATATTGGTCTTTAGGTTTCTTTCTCTGCTTTATCTCTCCCCATTTTAGGTATCTGGACCATATATGCCTCATCGAAGGAGTCTGGCAGGATACCTTCTTTCTCTATTTTTGCAAACAATTTGTATAATATTGTCGCTAATTGTTCTTTGAATGTCGTTACATGTTGTTCTTTTTCTTTTTCCCTTTGAGAGTTCATTTATGGCTTGCTTGTCCAATTAATTTTTTTTCTAAGATTGGATTATTTAAATTCTCTACTTACTGCTTGTTAACCTGGGCATTTTACATTTTTCTAAGTATTTATCCTTTCATTTGTGATCTGTTTTATTGGTATTTAATTGGGCAAAATGGTTTCTAATAATATTCCTTATTTCCTCTTTATTGTAGTGAATTCTTTTTCTTCTGAAGTATGTATATTTTGAGTATTTGTTGTTTTTTTAAAACAAAATTCTTTGGAATTAAGCTAGTCTCCAATTACTTTTGATGGTTTTTTTTGAAGGCCTCTTTATTGAATATAATTTTATTGATTTGTAGTTAGTAAAGCACATGTTTACTATTTCTGATTTTCCGCATTGGCTTATGAGGTTTTTATGCCCCAGTACATGGTCAATTTTTGTCAAAGGCACCATGTTGAGAGAAGTATATTCTCTTTTCTATTCTCATTAAATAATTGCCAGAGATCTATCATATTAAACTTTTCTAAAATTCTACTCAGGTCCTTAACTTATTTTAAAAAAATCTTTTTTATTAGATTTGTCTAGGTCACAAAGGGGCACACTGGGTTTCCCAATTCACAGGCAGTTTATGATATATTCCAGAATAGTAGTGCTACTTGACAATTATACCTCATTTTGAGGCAAAAGCTGAATTATCTAAATAGGTTACTCAACTAATTCGAAAGAACAGGTTCTGCATGGTCTTCAAGGGTGGATGTTATTTTTAGAATCAGTCAGAAGTCAAAGATGTAGTGCCTCAGAATATTCAAAAGACTAGGCACCAGAGTTAATCTCCAAGAATTCTGAAATTACTCTGAACAATAGCAGCTTTTTGGAAACAAATGGATAGCCTTCCAAGGTGATTATTTTGAAGGTAGTGACATTCATTTAGTTAAGCTCTGGTGCATGTGTATTAAAGAAAAACATCAGTCTTATTATTTCACATATTCACATAGAGAGGACAAAGTAAATAATTTCTTAGAGGTCTCTTCCAGATATGATTCTCTTGAATAGCAATAAAATAAAAAAAAATCTGGACTGTTTAAAATCTGTGCTCTGTGGTATAAATGGAAATGCTTTTTTTTTTTTAAAGCTGATTTAATGTAATTTTGCAGGCAACAGTAATAGTAAATACCTAGTCAAAACTTCAGTAGAGGGATTTATATAAGAAGACTTGTTTGAACTGATGTAAAGTGAAGGACCAGGAATACCACATATACAATGATGACAGTATAAATAGGAAGAACAATAAAAAAAAAAATGATGTGTAATTATAATGATCAAGTTCAGTCCTAAAGAAGAGAGGAGAAAAATGTACTTCCCTCTCGTTCTTAAAGAGGCGGGAGACAAAGAGTGTGGAACATCGCATAAGCTATCAGAGTCTGTTTGGCCTGTTGGTTAATTTTGCTGAGCTGTTTATTTTTCTTCTTATTCTTCGTTAGAAGGGATGGATCTCTGGGGTAGGAAAGGAGAGGGACACATCTGGAAGTAAAGGTGATATAAAAAAAGAGATCAATAAAACTTTAATAAAGTACAGGGCTTTAATGTTCGTAAAGGGCTTTCCTTGTAACACCCCTGTAAGGCAGAGGATGCTCACTTGACCAGAGAGAGGGAAAAATGTAAGAGCCAATGAAAGAACTCTGTTTAATCAGACTAATGACCGTTTCCCACCCTACGCTATTCTCACATTTTCCCTTCCTGCCATTTAAAACATATCCTGTGGGAAAATACCTACTAAATAGGTAGCTGCAGTTGTCTTTAATGGATAGTTAACTTGGTTCAGATTTCTCAGTGAAGGAAACAAAAAAGGGAAGAATGCTTATTCTCTCGTATGATTGGCACCGTCAATTTATTAAATGGTGCTATCCTTCTGAAAGTGTACAAAGATCAGAGTAAAATATTGTACTTGTCTCAATTATACAATTTATAAATAACTTTAAAAAATACCATCTGGATTTGCATGGAAACTTATAAACCTCAGGGAAAATCAAATTTTAAATTGTTACCACTATTTGGAGTTAAAAGAATGAGAACTGGCTTTCAAACGCACACTACAAAGGATATAACCTAGGCTGAAAAATACACGGGAAAAAGATAAAAATGATTGTAAATTTTAACCAAGTGGGTCCCCCCCCCAGCATATTCTTCTACAAAAAGATTTCTCCAAGTACAAATGAGGGGATTATTTTAAGTGCCTACTACCTGGTTTTTGCCATTTTCTCATTTATTCAAACACTCCTTTTTATCTCGTGGTAAAGGTGATCATTCACTTCTGTTCATAAATATATACCCCACTTAGATAATTTGACACAAAAGCTGGAAACAGTGAATTTGACTTCAGTGGTGAGATAGCTCCGGTCTAGTGCTGGTCAATTTTAGACTGCTTTAGGTCGTAAAAACCTATAGCTAGAGCTCATGTGCAGGCAAATTCTATAACCTCCGAATGAGGAGTCATATACCCTAAGGATTCCTGATAAATGTTTATTGTGCTGTTGATGAAGTAATTTTGAGGCTATGGTTAGGCTGGATTTTAAGAGACTTTTAAACTATTGAGAAGAAATGCAATATAAACATAGCAGAAAAACACTGAAGTAATGTAATTATCTTGGCATAAAATATGGGGAATGAGATTCATACTAAAGAAAATTAGGAATATGATGGTCAAGACTACTAGTTTTTGAAGGTCATGGGCTCCATCCAAGGAAAAGATGTTTTTGGTAGGTTATTAACACTCGTTTACCAACCCTCTTTATTTAAATAACAAATTGAAAAGTTCAAAATCTCAGATAACAAGGGATAAAATGGTGCCATTCTAAGTGGGATGAAAATCATCTGATTTATGCTTCAAGTATGAGTGGTGAGAATCTATTTATAAGGATTAATCTTCTCAGAACAGTTGTACAAAAAAATTATAAAAGATCAGAAGGAAGACACCTTTTTCAAAACAGGAACATAGATACTATGAACAGTAAAAAGGCAACCTGATCCTAGGCACAACAGAAATAGATTACAGTATTAGCCACCTTGGTAGGAGGCCAACTTGGGAGGAAAGTCTATACCCTATGGTGAATGACCAGCAGGGCTCACCCCACATGAGGCTCCTAGAAGAGCAGCTGCCTTGGCTGGGGTTCAGTTGGCAAAGTTAGTCTTATTGACCTACTGTAGCTACATAGACATTTATTTTCCTTATGTGGAGAGAAAGGTTGGAGGACTTGAAGCCTGGAGATACTCTAAAGATAGAGAACACACAAACCATGGACTATTTGTAGAGAGAACAAATGAAGACTCAAAGGGAGTCTGGAATTTGAAAGCTTGAGGGGTGGGGCAGGGGGAAGGAGTAGTAGGCAAAAGGTTTGAGAGACAATATTCCCACTAAAGATGAAAAGGTTTACGTAAAAGTACAAATATTGGCTAGATAGGAAATACTGAATTATTTCTCGTGCCCCAAACATAGCATCTGTGATGAAATAAAAGTAACACTTCTTTTGGAGAAACATTTATTGTAAGGGTATCAAATTTATGTACCCATATAAATGCCTTTACAGTGTGTAGCACACATACAATTCTTTGCTGGATTTACGCTACAGATCTCAGTGAAGAAGAATCAGTTCATTAAAAACAGACCGCAGTGAAAACGACTTGCTCATAAGAAATTCTGCTGATCTAAAAAGTTTACATATAGGCCAGAGAAGTTAGAACTTTACGAATACAATCATGTTCATAAAATGGGCCTTCCTGGAATTAACAAGTTGTTATTAAAAATCCTGTAAGCAAATAGACTGGATTAAAAACTTCTTCAAAGTATCTGTAAGTGAACATAACCGGTGAGCTGAAGAATACTTGACAGATAAAAGATTTAAACTTTTGGAGAATTCAGGGAAGTTACCAAATACAGACAATTGCAAAGTACAGTAAATTGCACAAAATGGAACCCCCCCCCAAATTAAGGTGTGCAACTTTAGGTAGTTTTACATGCCTGACAAAAATCTTATCTGTATTTAACAGTTTGTTATTAAAAGCCAGAGGAAGCACTCTGAGAATTATATAGCATGGGCAAACCAAGTAACATAACTTTATTCTGGTTTGGATTTCCTTTCTTAAGAAAAAAGATTAGAGTTTATTCTTACCAAGATGCTAGCTAACATTTATTCATGTGGTTACTAGAAAAAGCTAATATTAGTCAATGATTAAGTTTGCTTATTTTCTATGTTAGTTTCAAACAACTACGGATGCTAATTATACTAAGTATAGCAAGAACTTGCAGTGGGGAATCTTCTTTTCTTTAAAAAATATAAGCAAGACACACAAAAAAGCGTAACAAATAAGGCTTTTGATTATCACAGCACAATTTAATTTCGAAGTCACATTGTAAAGCCCCACTTTATGATTATTGGAATTCTTTCACTTGGAGGCTTTCACTGCCGACAAATTCTTGTCTCGACAACAAATTCATTGGGAAAATGTCTAATCTTCAGGCATCGTTCGGCAGAACGCTTCTGGAAGCCTATGTGAAAATAAACAAAGTTGAACATTTAATTAGGAAATCTATACATTCAAAGGATTTTCTCTAGAAAAAGAATTCACCTGAGTAACTCAAAACTGTTGCAAAATAGCAATCGTTTATTTTTTTATAAATTCAAATAAGATATTAAGCAAGATATTAAGTGTCTCTCACTTTTTATGTGTGGAGCAACAGAAACTTAGAGCTGAAAGGGACCTCAGTCCAGCCCACTCATTTTAAAAACAATGTGAAGTAACTTGCCCAAAGTCACGAAACACAGCCAGGAATAGCACCCAATTCTCCTGACTGGTGTTCTTTCCAATACACCACATGACCTTCCCTTAGATCTCCAAGGTCCTTCCAGCTCTAAAAATTCTGATTGTAAACATTCAAACCAAATCTCATGGCCATAAAACCAGTCGAAATCTGGGACAATTTCAGTGAACTCATCTTAATTCCTTCTTTAAGACATATTGCAGCTGTCCTCCAAAACCCAAGGAAAACAAAACAAAACAAAACAAAACAAAACTCTTAGCTGGGAAGAATAGAAAACTATTCTACCGTGCTCCTTTGATGGCATTTTTCAGCATGCTTAAGGAGCAGAAATACACTGAAACTGATTAACATCATTTGACAATGTTACACTTTAGTCCTGTAGAGTAAAGATTTGAGTCGCATATGGAAAAGAGCATTTTAGTTAATGCCCAAACTAGAAACGAAGCCATTTTCAAATGGTGTGGGCTATGTGATTAGATGTGAAAATTATATTAGGTGTATTTCACCCATTTCTCTTAGCACCTCTCTTTCTATGAGGACGGGTACCGCCCCTTCTGCTAACAAAAGTCATTCCATCAGCTCCTATGGAGAACCTATTTTGCACTTCAGGACTCTAGGGACAATGTCTCCATTTTCAAAAAAGGGATTAAGAGTAGAATCTTCAAACTGTAGGCCAGTAAGCTTGATGTCAATTCCGGGCAAAATTCTAGAAAATATTATTGAGAGGATGATTTAGAAGCATTATAAAGTGTGCAATGATCATGAAGACCTAGCATAACTTTGCCAAGAATAAGCCAGTTTAAAGAATCCTACAGATAACTGAGTGCCCGGATTTCAGCGACATCTTGTCTTTGTGGGCATGGAGAGATCTTGGCTATGTGGTAGCCAAACCCAGTAATCAGTCATTAATGGGTTGATGTCACCTTGGAGAAAGAGTGCTGTAGGGAGCTGTCTTTGGCTCCACGTGGTTTAACATTTTTAATTAATTATTGCTTCTTTGAAGGTACAAATAGTACACTTAAAAAATCTGGAAGACAGGAAAAAGCTGGTCTAGCTAATGTTAGATGACAGTCAGGATAGAGATAGTTTGGAACAGTGGGCCAAATCTACTGGGAAAAAAGAGAAGAGGTAAATGCAGAGTCTTATCCCTGGGTTAAAAAAAATCAACCAAGCAAGTATAATATGTACAAGATGTGACTAGGCATGTGAAATTTTTAAGGGTTTTAGCTGGACTGCAAACTTAACATATGTCAACAGTGTTGACACAGAAGTCAAAAAAGCCACCTAGAAAGAGAGAGGGGAAAGATGGAAGGACAACGTGATAGCTATCTCCCATGACTATGAAACGGGATTAGATACAAGTCTAATTGAACTAGCAGAAGGTGCAAAGGGGAAGAGTTAAGCTCGATGGAGAAAAAACTTCTAACAATCAAAGCTATCCCAAAGTAGAATGAACTGTCCCTGGAAGTAGGGGATTTCTTTCTAACTGGAGTTCTTTAAGCAAATGCTGCACTGATCATTTGTCTCAGGGATGTTGGAGAGGCAAATTCTGTTCAGATACAGGTTACACGAGACAGCCCCTGGCTCTTACAACTCAGACTCTGTGATTTAACATGGAGGCACTAAGAGAGATGTAAGACAGAGGTTCTGCCCTCAAGGAAGGAATAACAACCTAGAAATGAGGCATGAAACAATACAAGGCAGCAAGCAATACAGATATACCAGAAGGAGCTAGAGAAGGGAAAAAAAAAAAAAAGATGATTTGGGGTTAGGGAGGTTAACAAAAGGAAAGGGGACTGACATTGGCATTTGAAAGATAAGCATGATTTGAACATACGAAGAAGGGGAAGGGGCAGAAGACATAATTCAGGGCCTGAATTCCAAACGGAAGTCACTTCAACAAGTAAAAGATCACTGATCAAACTACCAAAAAAGAGACCATGTTTAGGGTGGTGTCCAAGAATGCAGTTATTTTTGGATACTTAAGCAACAATTCTTAATTTTTGGGGGGGGGGGTAGTAGGAGAATTAGTGTCAAAATATGACTTTGCTAAATAGCTATACGGTATGGTAAATTTTCCACTATGCTTTGGAATTACATAAAGCCCCCTTTTTAGTTCAAACTGCATGCAAATTCAAAAAGCAATAATTAATTAAACTGTTAAATGCCTCTGGTAAAGTTCTGGCATGTACACCACAAGTATTACCAATGTAGCAGCAGCTTCCTCTAACAACAGTCCGTCCTCCTCCTCCTCCCCTCCATTTTCCTGAACACAGGGGTTTCTTGATTCCCAGTCGCTAGTGATTGCTCTAAGACCACCCACCCACCACATATTGCCACAGAATGCTCTGTAGTCTTCCCCACCGCTGGAAACTGAGTCCTTATTTTTTCATGCCAACTGAATGGCCCATGAAACTACACTGCAGTGGAACTACTTAAAAATAAAACAAACCAAAAAAGCCCAAACCACACTCAAAAAAGTATTTCCCATAAATAGGAAACCCAGTGATTTGGAGGGAGGGGAAGAGCTGCTATTGATGTGGTAGCAATGCTTTCACTTTCTGAGCCCTTAAGCAGACTACAGTGGTGACTAGTCTCAACTGAGTCACTGTAACTTCTTTATAGAACTATAGGAAAATTGCTATGACGTGCAGAGTCCAAATGTGAATGGAGGGAGAAATTTTGGTTAAATTGACAAAATGTGAATGGCAGCAAAAGGAGGGCTAAGCCACAAAAACAAATACCCACCAGTTATTGGCTCCCGGCGTTGCAGTCTGAAGGTTTTCTTCCCTCCACAAATCTGGTAAATAAAGATGCCAAGATCAGAAACGTCCTCTATTTCTTCAGCAGCTACCAACTCTTCACGAACCAAGTAAGTCTGAGGGAGGTAAGATCCAGTCTAAGCGAAGAAAACAAACAAACAAACAAACTCAAAATGACGAATTCCTAAAGGCACCGTCATTTCGACTTTGCCCATAATGGAAATCAGCTCATAAAGTTAATATAGAGTAAAGCATTATTACACAAGACTCTTTTAATTACAACAGGACCCATTAATAAACAAGTTAGATCAAAAGCATTATTATTCGAAACTTTTTTTCATACACCAGGGCCCCATTAATAAAAAGTTAGATCATATCTAAAACATGAATCAAATCATGCCCCTCAAAAGGTATCTACATTCTGAAAAACCTTGGATAACATAGCTACTTTGATTATACAGTGTCACCCCTCTTTGGGGGGATTCCACATAGCTAGTACAATTTCTGTGGTAAAATATTATCAGTATAGGCAGTCCCTGACTTATGAACACAATTTTTATATTTAGCCAAGCCAGATGGATGAACAATGGGGCAGTCTGAGTAGAGTCCCATTTCCAGTTCATACCACCTGAGGATACCTTGTCTTATAAGGGCACAAATACTGTTGGGGGTGAGGAGTTGTTTAACTTGAAACAGCAGAGTACTAGACACGGTGACGTCAGCCAATTTGGTAATGGCTGTCACTACATAAGCTGGTCTGATTCGGGGGTAGGGAGCATGTGTCCTTTGGGGCAGATTAGGACTAGGTTAAAGAGCCAAGGTTTGCATCTTGTCAGGCTGGCAGTGAAAATGCTACAGGAGGTTCATGATGCATAACGAATGAGAGAAGAGAATGGTTATTTACATTGTACTTTGAGAGAGGGAGGACATCAGGGTTAAAGGAGATGGGGAATATATTCCTGCCATCCACGATTTTAACTTAGAATGTTAATATATTAGGCTACAAATGGTGGTTTTAAAACCAGAGAATTCAAGTATACTATGGATTAAATAAGCTATTGTGAACTGACCCTTGGTAGCTGGCTGCCATTTATAACCCTGTTCCTATGGGGAAACTGTGTTGAGGGTTCCCAACAAATGTCAGGAACACAATCTGTTGTTTTTTGATGCCTTCTGTTTTTACACTATAATCATTTCTGGATGTATTGCATATCTCCCTTTCTGCACTGCCACCGGCCCACCCCACCCCTCCCCCATCCCTCCTAACAAAGACAAAGTTAAGCAAAACCAACAGACACAGTCACTGCATCTGCCAACGTACACCAAGTTATACACCCATAGCTCACCACCTCTCTACCAAAAAAGTCTGTTTCCTCATCAGTCCTCTGGAGTGGAGATGGGTCACTGTAGCCAATCCAAGTACAGCTGCCTTTTAGGGTTGCCATTTACATTATTGCCTCCTTATGGACATCGTTCTCCTGGTTCTGCATCAGTTCATATACAAGTTTTCCCAAGTTTCTCTGAGTTACTCATATTCATTGTTACTTACAGTGTGATAATGTTCCATTACACTTTATATAATAGTTTGTTCAGGCATTTCTGAAAGGATGGGCACCCACTTTGTTTGTAGGGTTGGTTTGGTTCTTCTTCTTCTTTTTTTTTTTGCAACCACAAAGTGCTGGTCTGAATGTTTTGCCAGTAGACAATTAAAAGCTTTCCTTAAAAGTAGTTTTATTCTCTTAAGTAGATTAGCCTCACTCCCAGAAAGAACATTTATATGCTTAGTGAAGCCTTTTATTATCGATAGCACAGAAGCAACCTTAAGCCTAAGTGAAGGGAGCAGATTCTAAAGTAGTGGAGGGTGTCCAGATTAATGAGGTTTTATCCTGCTTTCAATTTGAACATGCTCTCCTTTGGAATGGAACGATGTATTTCTAGGTTATAATTTTAATTGTTGCATTTCACACCTGAAGTTGTTGGCATTGCTTTTTGGAAGCCTCAAGAAAGCACTGATCATTGACTACTGTAATATCTCTAAGCTGGGCTAAATTCTGGCCTACTGAAAGATGGGTCTGTCCAAGCTTCCAGGAGTCAGAGGGGAGCTATATATCTAGTCTAGATATGCTTCAGTAATATCTTTTGCCAAAGGTACCAACCACCAGATACTGTGCCATGCATTATATACCCTTTCCAGGAGGGCAGGGTTAGCCAAGGGTTGATGTATGTGATTAGGTGAGTTAGTCATCTCTAAGAGCCAGAAGGGGCCAAAACAATCAAAGTCTGGCTTCCATTCTCTAGACCAGGGGTGGGGAACCTGCAGCCTCAAGGTCACATGGGGCCTTTGAGGTCTTGAGTGTGGCCTTTCGACTGAGTCTAAGTTTTACAGAACAATTGCTTTTATTAAGGGGATTTGTTCTGTGAAGTTTGGATTCAGTTAAAGGGCCACACTTGAGGACCTAGAGGACCTATATCTTCTTTCTCAACTGCAAAGACCTTTAGGGGCTGGCTGATTCCCTCCCTTCTAAAACCCTAACGATGTCCTGCCTTCAAGTATTTGGTGAGGGCCTCACTGGCTTCTGCCTCCTGAAGTCTGTGTTGTTCAGTAAATATGACAGCATGGCGATATTACACACTGAAGCATGAAGCCCCCAAGGGGATCATAGGACACACGTAGGGCTAAATAGGGCTCTAAAATAGCAGAACTGTCCCCAAACACTGGAGGGAATTAAGGGGTGAACACACCACTTTGCACATGGTTGTATTTCATTATTATCAAGCTTTTCACTTGGTTCTTTCCAACTCCTCTTTAAACAGACTTGACTCTACTAAAGGGCACAAGCATTTGGGGGCAGGAACAAGAAGGAGAACATGGATAAATTCCCTGGAGTCTGGAGATGGGGAGGGTTGAAAAAGGGAGGGCGTGGAGAAAGGTTCAGGCCATAGCCCTAGTCCCATGAAGCAAAACAAAAAAAAAAAAAATCTCAGGCTGGTTGGTCAAGCTTAAGGATAATTATGGGAAACTATGTACTATCTCCATGGGGCCTGTGTGCCTAGGGCCAATCAGAACAGTGAGTTACTGCCTTCTTGCAGAACAGAGACAGTATGCTTCCTGTCATAGCTAAATCTGGGCCTTGTAGCTTTGGAGACAGAGAATTACGCTTCCCTCGGTGACATGCTGATACAATGGAAAGAATACTGGCCTGAGAGTTGGGAGATCTGTGTTTTAACTCCAGCTCCGGCACTCGTCGGAAGATCTCTCTTCCCTCATGCAGCTTAGTTTGCCTCTAAAATAAGAGCCTTGGAGTAGATGATCTTGAAGATCCCTTCCAGTTCTGATGTTTTACAATTATTCTGAAGTATTATGGAGGCTCATCAAGCAATAGATATTTTGATCCCTCACTTTTAAAGAGGACATTACTTTATAATGACTGCTGCTATCTACAGAGGAAGATCTACCAGGCCTGGTGTATGTACCAGGTGCTTTTTTTTTTATCACTGCCTACACTCAGAACCCAATTGTGGTGGCTCTTGCTACTATTCCTGTTGATATCTGTTACTTTGCCTCAGGTCCACGATCTCTATAACTTTTCATCTCTCAAAGAGCCTCACTTCTGATTTCTGTAGACCTGGCTTGCCATACATCTCCTGTCAGTGTTTCAAAAGACATGATGGTCTTTTTTTTGTTTTCTGTTTTTTGGCTAGGCAATGGGATTAAGTGACTTACCCAGAGTCACACAGCTAGTAAGTGTTATGTGTCCGAGGCTGGATTTGAACTCGGGTCCTCCTGAATCCACTGTGCCACCTAGCTGCCCAGACATGATGGTCTTTGCAAATTTATTTTCAACTCTTTTGTCAGTCAGCTGCTATCTAGTTTATGTGTGTGTACATATACTTTGAGGGCACAATCATCAATATGTATTCATTCCTGGGATTAGTCAAGCCACTGATTTCTGATACTGATCTTAATGGACAGAAAAGAAAGGTCCAAGAGAAGTAGAATCAAGAGAAACAGAGCCCGAGGGCCAAATACTAGGTCCTATGTACTGTCACTTCTTCAGGCTGCTTTGACTAGAATGAATAAAAACAGGTTGATCAAGCCACACCCTCATCCACACCAAAAAAGCAAGCCAGTGAAGATAGCAATACCACCTGCTACTGAAAGGGCAAAGTCTATGGCTTGCCTTGGCTTCAACCTTTGAAGCCAGTGTTGCATCAAAGACATAATAAATAGGAAAGGCCCTGGAATTAATGGCAAACCTGCTGAAATCTTTAAGCAGCTGGGGAGATACTACTCTGATCTATGAAGGCCTGAAGAAATAGCCTAAGGGCTTCAGAGATGCCGTTATCATTTATGAAGGCAAGAAAACTCACCCCAACGATAATTTTGGGCATAGCTGTGGCTAGACGGATCTGGCCGGAATCTTTTTGGATTGGCTACCAAACACATACATTCTTGGAATGGTAACGTACAGCAAAACACACAATACAGTCAATGTGAACTTTATAGCATACTAAACACAGTAAAAGTATTGGGAACACAAAGACATTTAAGTTATATTAATTGATTTTTACCAAAACACCAGATGCCATCAGTACACTTGATTCATGCTATTTATGTACCACGTAAGCTTAGCTACCCAAGACTAAAGGTATGGTTGGTTGTGTCTGTCAAAAGTCTGCCTCATCTGATTTATTTCCTCTCTACAACTGAAGCAATGTCTGTTTGCAGAGGAGGACCAGTCTCTCTTTAGCTCATGATCACAATATAAGAATTATAATAATATAGCCAATTCATGAACCGTTCATTTCTATTGCCAAACCTCTTTTAAGCCCCTCTGTCTAGGTGAGAACTGTTAGCATATGAGAAAAGTGCAGAGGCTGGCTCCCCGGTAAGAAAACTTGTGAAATTCAAGCATGTTTTTATTCCCTATGGAATAAAACCAAGGCAGCAGGCCTTAAACAGTTAGCTTTGGCAATAGGCTAAATGAAAACTCAATTCATGAATTAACTGAAGTTTAATCTTCAGTCATAAAGCCGCTCTAAAAATAAAAGCTATTAACCAAGGGCTCTCCATACATTGTCATCTGATCCTCATAATGACCCTATAGGGTAGATGGTACAAGGAGTATTAGCCTGATTTTTACAGATGAGGAAAGTGAAGCTCAGAGAGCCTGTGACTGCCCAAGGCCACAAAGCCACTGAGTGGCAGAGGAGGGATTTCAGAAAGCAGGTTTTTGGATTTTGAGCCCAGTGGTCTTTCTACTATATCTTAGTATTATTACTACATGGTAGAAAGAATTCACAAAACTGTAGATTTCATAGAATAAGTTGATGCTAGAGATTCCATAATCCAAGAACTTGTATGATAAAATGTAAGTCCTTCCTGTGTCTCACTTTAAAATTTCTATTAAAAACAGACCTATAAGGCTTTCCAGCACAGTGACTGACCACTGCTGGGAAAGCATTTTAGGTGGTACTCACACAGGTAATAAAATTTCCAAAATACGCCCTGGAGAGTGTGAGTGGTGCCTTATCTATTTCTGATAGTATAAATATTTGCTGAAATGAATGAACAATTTAGGAGAGCTGAATCGTACAGCAAAAGAGAAAGTTGGGGTGGCGGCGGCTGTGGCAATGACAAAGGTCAGCGCTTGAACTTGCCAGGGAAGCAGCAAGTAGAAACCGACGCTGACTACAAAGAACGCTGACCTGGGGAGCTGACAGACCTTGAGTCGTAGGTCACCTGCTCTGCCATTATCTATGCCATCTTGGGCAAGTCAGTTCATGCTCTCTGGGGTTCTCACTTCCCTTCATACATAAGATTAGAGAGTTGACTCGATTTCTAAGAAGGTCATTCCCAGCTCTGATCACCTGTAATTAAGAAGAGCCTATTTCATGTCACTCGTGCAGCTCCATGAAATTCTAATGGAAACCACCGTTTTAGAGAGAAGTTTAAAAATTATCTCTGAAACCACCGCTTTAGAGAGAAGTTTAAAAATTATCTCAAGAAGCCACGTTAGAAATCAAATCTCTAGTCTGTTTTCTCAGGATCTCTTACCATGTTTCCAAATAAAAATGGTGACAAATCAATTTGAAACTATACTTACACCAAAACTTCTATCCACAAAGTACATACCGAGAGTTTGGCAAAGAGGTCCATAAGATTTCTTGGAGGCATAACAATGGAAGTATTGAGAGGGATTACATAGCAGTTGCCCAGCTGCAGGTCTAGGTAAGCAGTCAGAAGCTATTGAAAAAGTTAGTCATGATCAATATAATGATGCATCAGAGTGCTGACAATGAAATTTCTGTTATTAAAACTAAACAGCTACAGCCTAAGTCAACTAAGCTGTGGGTCAAGACAAAACATTCAAATTGTTGGTGAAAACCATGAGGACATATTTCTTAATTGACAAGCTCGACTGTTTCTTCCTTGGGGTGATTTAGGAAATGTTAGGGGGAAAAAAAAAGAGTCCGGGACAATTTCAGGTCACTGGGGCAACATTCTCCCAGTCTCAAAACCCGGAAGCATCTTTGACTCCTTCCTTTTGTTTATCCTCCCCTCCCCCTTGCCCTCAACACCTCTAATCATCATTAATTACCATCGATTCCTCCTTTAAACCTTTTGTCTGATTTTTTTTTTAAAAACTCCAATGTGGAGTCTTCATCACTATTTCCTACCTACAGTAGAGCTTCCTGACTCCCCCACCAAAATATTACTCTGATGATTCACTGGGGCACGAAGGTGACCCTGGGGTCTTAAAGGCTATGCTAGCAAAACGCAGGGCCTGGCAGGTTCTATCAAGAAGGAAAGGCTTCAAGAAGAAACCCAACAATGTTTGTCACCTGAGAAACAGCCGAGAAGCAATAAGTTCTGAAAGGCCCACGAATAAGAGAAGTCGGCCACCAGGTGATCAATATTGTTTTGGTCACAGCAACCAAAAGACCTTTACCATGTTTAGGGAATAGAGAAGCCGAGATCTGTATCAGTGGAGAAGCACCCACCCCAATTTTCTTTTAGAAAAACCAAAGTTGGCTCCCTAAGTATCCTCATTATTTCCAGTCTCTCCTCCCTCCAAGTCATCTAATACATCCTTATCCGTTTAATCTTGCTTGCTATGTCACTTTCATGTCATTAAAGGTCTACAGTGTCTCGAGTTCAAACTTGTCTGCAATTCAAGGTGTTCTAACAACTGCTCCATCCTACCTTGTGTCTCCCTATCAGATATGGACCCTCCTGCTTAACCTAGGTTCATTTATATACTGTGTCCTTTATTCACAAAATTCATTTCTACTTCTGAGAATTTTGCTCACATGATTCTCTCTACCTGTAATGTCCACTCTGCCAAGCTCTGTCAAAACCTGAACTAGCATAAATAACCTTTCCCTTATTTTGAATTCTAACATATTGCTGTGAATCTTTCTCTAGTTATAGCAGAGATTTTGAAAGTGGACTAAAACCGGTGGAATGTGTGTCTCCCTCCTTGGTTTCTGTTAAAATTCTCATCTGGCTTTCTAGATGTAAAAATTAGAACTTAAAATCAGGTATCCCTTCCTTTTTTAGGAGGAACAGCTTTGTCATTAGTATGTCACATGGGAGATCACAGGAGCTGTCTAGTGGCTATTGGAAAATGTTTGATTTTCAGGAAAGGACTTAAGCTAAAATACCTAACAAACTGAAGCCAAAATTTATTTCTGTGGAATTTAGCCCTGAGCTCACAGTCTGCTGCAAAAGAACATTTTAGGAGCAGTGAGAAACAAACTACTATGTGAACTCAGTGAAAAGATGTAAATGGAATAAAGCAAAAGCAGCTAGTTATCAGAGTAAATGTTGAATATTAAACTTACTCTATCAAAGTCATGAACAATGGCAGCAGGGTCACTATCAGAGAATTTGGGAACAGGAACATCAATGATGGCTATGTTTTCATCTTCCCGAATGTCGGCTTCTTCAGAAACAGGGAGGAAATAGGGCTCTGTTTCACCATCCATGCCATTATCGTCATTTTCAAAGTAGCACATTTCCCCACGGAATACTCTGTGCTAAAAATAGAAAGAAAAAAAAACTCTAACATTTAAAACAGTGGAAATTTAGAATTGTTCCTCACACTTGCAATTCTATCAATTCACTAGATTGTTGTTATCTCGTAGGCCTCCTGAGGCACCGTCTTAACATTTGGCACAAATCCATGTTATGGCAGTCTGTCTGGATGCTATTTTTAAATTTCATAATTATGTTATAATGAACCTTTAGAATATGGAGAATCCACAAGTTGCTCCTTTTAAGAGCTGTATGGAAGTTTTTTTAGGTGTCATTCAATGTAAGTGCTACTAAAATAAAAAAACAAAACAAAAAACAACAACTTTAAACCAGCTAAACTTTAAAAAACTAAAATGACTTTACCCTTGGCATGAAGTATTTATAAATGCAAGCTCCACCAACAATAACTCCTGTTAAGATGAATGCAAGGCCCAGGAGGGTCAGCAAGCATCTTCCAGATGAACTGTCATGCGTCAGAATTTCTAGCTCCTGTGAAAATAAAGGAATAAAATAAACTTAGATGCTTCTGGGTAGAAGATTTACCATTCATTTGAAACGATACTAAACCTATATTAAGTCACACTGCACAAAGTGTGATGCATTTTAAGTAAACTCATGTTTTGAAACATCTTTGCTCAGAGATTTGCAAAACGTAGATATCAGGTTATTGTCAAGACACACAGCCTTGGAAGCAAATTAAAACTGCCATAGTTAACCATCTACAATGTTATAACTGTCTAGTTAATAAAAAAAAATCATAGAATTTCCCAAGTCTCCAAATAAGTGACAGGGGAAAAAATCCTTCAGGAGAGCACCCAGGCATTTTAAGAGTCTTTTGGAGAAGAGGAAAGAGTCTACTGCAGTTATGGTGTTGCTGCCATATTGCACACTTCATAAAATCTACCCCAAGTCTGTGTAAACCATTTTATGAGGAGAGACAGATGGGGCCAGCAAAGCTGACAGCCGAAACTTTTGTTTTGAGTAGATGTTATTGATGTTCCTAGTGGTTCTCCAACCAATGTTGCTTCTAAAGCGATTTCTAGTTCATCACCATTAAGAAAATGTGTGAGCATCTTGAGCAAGCACAAGATCTTTCTACCTTTTCCAATTCCAAAGTACCTTATCACCACCTTCTCTTACATCATTGTACTCGGGAGTCTGCTTAGGATTTAAGCCTTCAGACACATTTTAACTTGTAAAGAAGCTGCCTATGGGGTTCAGGAAACTATCGTCAAGATAATCCTTGCCACTACCTGCTTTGCAGAAAAACAGTGAGGTCCTTTCATGTCAGCATCAGCAAAGTGCTTTGGGTTCTTCAAACAAAGGGAGTTAAGTTATTTTTCCGTACAGCCCTTTGTAACTACAGTTTTTGTTTGCACATGAAAGGGGCTCAGTGAGCAGGCTAGGGTGCGATATAAGCCACGTATTGACTTCGGTGTTTCCAATGGCCATCCTGTTGCCCCAAAGTGCCATGCCTTACATAAACCATTCTTTTGTTCTAAGGTTATTTAGCACTTTTCTTCCCAGGGCACTCTTAACTTTCCCCCCAAGATTATCCCTTAAGTCTTCTCACTGGTCACAGAATCACAGAATCACAGAATTGTTCTTTGCATCAAGAGAGACCTTAAAGGTCATCCAATCTAGCCCTCTTTCTTTGAGAAGGGAGGAACCCGAGGCCCACATTAATGCCTTGCCCCAAATCCCACAACTAATCAATGACAGAGCCAGAACCCGAACCCAGGTCTCCTGACTCCAAAGGCCAATTCTCTTTTCTTCTCTTTGTGCTATGTTCCTCTGCTTAAAAGCCTTCAATAGTTTTTTAAGCTTGTATTTAAGAAACTTCTTTCAATCTTGTCCGACATACTTTTCCTGCACAAAACCAAACCGGAGAAACTTGCTGACCCTAAAACACACCTTGTATCTATGCCTTTCGTCTATAGATTCTGCACCTGACAGGAACATACTACCCATTTCTCCTTAACTGTATCAATCCTAAATTTCCTCTTTAAGGTCCAATCTAGGTCTCAACTCCTTCCCTGCCTACCCCAACCCTGAAGGGGCTTCTCTCTTCTCTGAATTCCTATAGCAGTTACTGTCTAGGCAGTCCATTTGGCAATTAATCATTTCCTGCCTTTTGAGATCTACCTAATAGTGACTGAAATCCTTTGTTATTTAAACTTCTTAACTATTTCTAGAACCTCAAAGGCCATATGGTCCAGCCCATCCATACCAGCCTCGAGATTTCCCCTTATAAAAATCATCAACAAGAGGTCATCTATTTGGCCTTCTCTTGAAAATGTTTAGTAAAGTGGAGCCAGGAACCGTCCAAGGCAGCCCATTCCATTACTGAATAACTCAAATTATTAGGAAGTTCTTCCTCAATCAAACCTCAATCTGCCTGTCTCCAACGTTCACCCATCATCACTTGTTCTGTCCTCTGATGTCGAGCCAAACAAATCGAATCCCTCCTTCCATGTTCAACCAGTTATGAACGTACCTAATTATTATCTAGTCTCCTCTTTGTCCTCAGAAAATAGCATGAAAAAACTATCAGATGTTTTCATAAGGTAAACAAAAAAAATCAAGTCAAATCTATGTAAGCTCCACATACATTTACATGTCTATGTATCTATACACACACAGCATTCCTGTGATCGGGTCTAATAACCATGTCAAAAAAAGCAATGGACTTGGCCTGGCATGACTTGTAGTCCCGTGCTGGCCTTCTGTGTTTGTCACTTCCTTTTCTAGATGTACATTAACTATCTCCATAATGTATTCTAAAATTTTGCCAAGAATCAAAGTCAAGTTTCTGGGGTTTTCAGATTCTACTCTCTTCTTTTTATTGAAAATCGGGACATTTTTTCCTTCTCCGGGTCTATGGAGCCTCTCCCTTTCTCCAAGATCTTTGAAGGATCATCCAGATTCATTAGCAATCACATCTGCCAGTCCTTTCAGTATGGGGGGGTTTGTAGCACATCTGAGCCTGGTAATCTGAATACAGAAGGACAGTTTAGCTATTCTATCAGATCACTTTGGGTCTGCTAGGCTCACAGATTTAGAGCTGGCAAGTGCCTTACGGACCACCTAGTCCAGCCCCCTCATTTTACAAATCTGGTCATTTATCTTGCTCAAGGTTCCCCAGATAGGTAGTGATTGTCAGAGCTGGCAGCACTATGGAGTGGGGAAAATGCTAAACCTGCAGTCAGGAAGCTCTAGGTTCAAAATCCCACCCCTGATATTAGATGTGTGACATCTGGCAGGTCACTTACCTTCTCTGGCTCTCAGTTCCTCATCTGTAAAATGAGGTAATGGATTAGATGGCCTCTGAAATTCCTTCCAGCCTGAAATCTATGATCCCACAACCCTTTCAGAAAGGACTATGCTTCTTTCGTGTTTTCCCAACCCAATAAAATATAGGTTCCTTGAAGACAAGACTCCCCTCATTTTTTTGAGGGGGGAGGGAGAGGATGGAAGATGGGCGCTCTATCCCCAGTGTCTAGTCCAATAGTAGCTATTTGATAATTGTTTGATGAAGTGAATTTCTCTTTTTAGCTTAATGGAAAATCAACTTGGCTGAGCTCTCGTGAGAGGATATTCATCCTTTGGTCCATTTGTTCATTTTCCTTCCAAAGTTGTTTCTTAACTACTAGGCTTTTGGGGAAACAATTTTCTAAAGCAAACGTGATGACCAGAGATCACTTTACAGATCTGAACATTGAAGGTAGACAGATTAGCTTCCCCAGGATTAACCAGTAAGAATTTCTTCCTTAGGGTTTTTTGCATAGGAAGGGATTCTCACTTATCCAAAATCCTCAGAAAAGGAAAACAGAATGCAAGTTGTCCTACTGATACTTGTTTAAAGAAAACAAGTTTTCTCCTCCCTCTCCTCCATCCCCCTCCCCACACCATCACAAGGAATCTTCCTTTTTTGTTTAAAATTCCCTTTGTGTCTTTCTTAGATTCTCAAGAATGTTCACAGTCACAGAAGTTACCAATACATGGGCATGTGATTGCTAGTTTATCCTGCTGACCACAGTGGTGAGAAAGGCTTTCCCAGTCTGGCAGAACCCTCTTTTTTCAATCTGAATATTTAAGATGGCCAGGTACAAAGCTAACTGTACAAGTGACTTTATAATTCAGTGAAATCAATCATTTTCTTAGGAATTGGACTCTCAAAGGTCCTTGGCAACTGAGTAACTTATTAACTCTGAGCGACTTCCCAGGGCAGAGGACCAGGAGGCTCGTCCTGCCCATTCTGTATGTCACAATATGGCCATAGCAGCATGATGACATAAGGACAGAATTAGGAAGTCAGCAAATCTGGCTACTGGTAATCAGTGGGTAAATCTTTTAGGCTATTAAGTCAATCAGGTCTGAAAGATTTCTTTCATTTAGGTCCTTGCCATGACAATATAACATCTGTAAGAATTACCTACCTTGACAACTTTATGAAAATAAATCTGAGGGATTAAAGGGGTGGAGGGGATAAGGGAAAAGAGGGCACATATCAGATGTTTACCCTTTGACAAAGGGTAAACAATTTGTTTTTCTTTCTAAAAAGACCAAGGAATTGGGATTTTTTATGTTCACAGCTGAAAGAAATTTAATAGACCCTCCTATCTTGAGTGATTACTTGTCCAACTTATACAGTTATACTTAAAAATTCAGGTATATAAATCCTGATAAACCAAGTACTGCAGAGCGTGACTTAGAATCACAACAAATCCAGGGTCTTTAGAGATCATCTAGTTTCCTGCCCTCACACAATTTTATGGAAAAGGGTGATTTTATAGATAACTTCTCTGAAGATCAGGGAAGATAAGTGACATGTCTAAAGTCATCTAGTAAGTGAGGAAACTCAAAACCCTCAAGGGAACCTTCCTTTATTGCTACTGAAACGGATGAAAAACAAAACTTCCCTTCACTTTCAGTTCTCCTTCCAACAATTCAAATTTTATTACTAAGCATATTATAGATCTCTACAGTTTTCTCAGTTCCTCCTTGGGTTTCTGCAACCTAGGAATAATTATCTTTGCCTGCATTTATTTCAATTTGTTGGGTTTGGGCTGACTAGCTGCTAATTTATCTCTGAACCACTTTTACAAGTCACAACCTCTGGACTGTTTTATAATAGTTCTATTGTAAAGCTGCTCAGAGGTTGAATACATCACTATACATGTTGCCAGGTATTAAGTCAGTCTTCCAAAGTGGCCAGGTCAGAATCCCTTCAGAGATTATTGATATGTATCACCTGATATAGAAACAATCATTGTTCAAAGGGTTACTTCTGTTTGTTTCTCATTATTCTCCTAGAGGACTAGGAGAGCTACTTGTTTTTTCAGCTAATCTAACTACAAGTCAGAGCTTTCACTGACTAGGAAAAATTTAAGAGGATTACTGGGTGGCTATATTTAACTACTGGAGTCCTATTAGGCGTCCCAAAATCTGGCCAAGTTTCACTCAAATAGTAAATTTGGTGACAGTTATATGTTGAAGCTGTAATTTAATGAAAAAAACTTCCAAGCATGCAGGAAGATGTTCTTTGAAAACATTTTAGAATGTTTTCAGGAACTTGTGCTAGTTTCACTGAGGTCTATGTAGTGCTGACCTGGCTGGCTGCAGATGAGAATTCCGCAGAGAGCTTCTCAACATTTCAGAGTAACTTAGCCTACCCAGAAGACAGTTTACTTCTCTAACCTATGCTGCTGAATATGGAAATTAGAATGTACAAGGACCTGTGGATACAACAGTTTCCTGAGAGAACACCTACTCAAGTAAAATAAAGTTTTACTAAGAAATAAGGAGAGGAAAAAGAGTGTACGCATTTTGGAAATTAGTTGCCTTTTAAGTGTTTACAGGAAAAACAAAGTGGATTAATAATATCTTAACATTTTGGGAAAATCCTCTGGCTCCTGGCATAGTTCTGCAAGAAAAATGAAAATGAGACCTGTTTTTAGGTCTAAATTGGGGATTGAAGGATGGCTATTTGGTGGGGGGGGGGAGAGGGGGAAGCAGGGAAACTCAAGTTCCTCTTTGCGGAAGACGAGTGTTTTCTTTTAGAAACGCCACAGGGAAAACATGCAAGGCTCCCCGCAGGAAGAGGGAACAGTAAACACCCCAAATTTATATAATGACAAACTTTTAACTCTAACAGCTCCTCTACTGGATGGTCTGAGAGCCTCTCCTCAGGGAGGGGATCCTTTCTGTATGGAAGAAAAAAAGACTCACAAACTCTTTAAGTCAAAGGTGTACGGGATGCCTCTCAAGTCCCCCCCACCCAGCGCCCAGACCCGGGGAGTAAGATCTCGGATCCGGACATCTCTCAAAGACAGAAAGGCCTTCTAGCGTCCTCCCCAGCATTCCGGCGCCCGGCCCGGCCCCCTGCTACTCCACCCCTCCCGTCCGTCCATCCCGCGGACCCTCCTGTCCTTCCATCCGTCTGCCCATCCGCTCGTCCAGGTCGCGGGTCAGGATCTCCCAAGGGGTCTGTCCCCGCCCCCCCCCCCCCCCCCCCCCCCCCCCCCCCCCGCCCCAACTGCTACCTGGGGCCAAGAGCTCAAACCACCCCCGAGGCCCTGCGAAGGAAAGGGAGGGGGGCGCAACGGCGTCGGGTCCCACCCAGGAGCTCTCCCGTCCCACCTCCCCATGCCCGCCTGGCAGCCGCCACCCTGGGGGGCCAAAGGCGGGAGCTATCGAGTGCCCGCCAGCCGGCGGAACAGTGGGGGGGGCGCTCTGAGGAAGTCTCCATTTTGTCCTTCGACAAGTGCCCCTTTTCAGCCCCGGTCCGCCCCGTGCCCCCCGCCGGCTTCCCGTCGGCCTTACCCTCTCCGCCACCAGGGCCTCGACGTCCTTCTTGGGGCCAGGCTTCTGCACGAAGGGCGTATTGAAGGAGATTTTCACCATGGTGAATCTTCCGCCTTCGGCAGCAGCGGAGGTGACAACGGCGACGGCGGCACGGCTCTGCGACCAGGAACGCTGATCTGCGAGGCACGGACGGGCGGACAGGAAGAGGCGGTGGTGAGACGAGAGGAGAGACACAGACACGAGACGAGAGATCGGGAGAGGAGGGGAGACGAGAGGAGACGGGGGGAGACGAGGGGAGACGAGAGGAGACGAGAGGAGACGAGGGGAGACGAGACGAGGCGACACAGAGGAGAGGAAAAGGCTGCTCGCAGCTCCGAGACAACCTCCGCAAGTGGCTGCCTCCCGCCTCCACCTAGAGAGATGTAGTTAAGGCCGCCCCGCTGCCGGGTGCGAAACGAGGCGGGGCGGGGGCGGGGCCTGCGCCGCGGGGGCGGGCCGCGGCTCGCCCCGCCCCCTCCCGGCAAGCAGGCCGGCCGGCGAGCTGGTGGGGAGGCAGTGCATCATCCGTCGGTGCGGCCGCCGTCGTTCAGTCCATCCTGGCGGCAATCGCCTCCGAACCGCCTCCGTCTTCCGCTCGCCCGCCCACTGCACCCCGCAGCTCAGGGCCAAGTGCGAAGAAAGCGCCTTGTACCCTTCCGCGCCTGGCCCGGCCTGGCCTGGAGTCTTCAGCCCTCAAGTCTTCTGCGCTGGCCCCCAGCGGCTTGCGACGTGAGTTGTGAGCTTCACACACACACACACCCACGCGCACACACACACCACACACGCGCGCGCGCACCCGCATACATTCGTACGGACCCCCCCCCACTCCACTCCCACTCCCCAAATGTGATCCAAATGTCCACTATGGCTTTGAGCCACCCTGAAGTGAAAGGGGACGTCTAGCAGCTCTCTAGGGTCCCTTCAGCTCATAGCCCTCTGTCTCTCTCTCTCTCCCATACTCGAAGAATCCCAAGCCTCAGCCTCTGGGTTCCCTCCCCCTCCCCCTCCCCCCCCACCCCGCCTGTAACTGCTGAGCCCTTGGCTCCCACGGGGGGACGGGGTGGCAGGGAGATATGTGTGTATGTATGTGTGTCTGTGTGTGTGTATATGTATTGGGGTGGGGGGGGGGTGGATGCAAGGCAGTTGGAAGAACTGGGAGAGAGGAAGGGAAGGAAGGAGAGGAGAAAAGCAGGGAGGGAAGGAAGAGCGCAAGCCCAGGACAAGGCGCTAAATTGAAACTTAATTCTTTATAATCACTCTACTTATAGATCTTGCTTAGATTAAAAATCCAGGAGGAACATTATTTTCAAGACCAAAAACGGAGACCTACTTAAAGCGTGAAGGATAAATCGCTTTGTTAGACCCTTGTTAAACGTAAATTGAGCCTTCTTTTTTTTTTTTTTTTCAAAATATGAGGACTTCTTCCCCCCACCAAAAAAAATCCGGTTTCTATGGTCTCTCTATCTCTGTCGCACATGTACAGCATTCAATTACGTGAGGTTTGCCCTGTTTAGGATGTGCTAGCATGTGGGGGTTATAAATAGCCCTGCCACCTAAGACAAGAGAAGGCTCTGTTTAAAACCTAAAAACCAAGTCTGTGCCCCAAACACCCGGCCAGCTATAAGCCAAAGAAACTTTAATATGCTAAGAATCTAAACCCCTCTATCCAAGTTTTAAAATAATACCTGATTCATCAGAGATCGCTGGGACTTTCCCCACTGGAATTTGAACACCAGTCATGCCCACTTCACTCTGGGGGCTTGTAACTATGGGCCAAGGTTATCTAAAGTGGCCAGAGTCTAAGAACCCCGATCTAACAAAGGGAGCCCCTGTATCATAGGCAGGCCTTGCCTAGGTTTCTAGGGACTGTGAACGGTTGCCCATCACAGTACTCACCCCAAGCCTAATGGTAATATCAGCAAAGTGTGAATTACATTAATTCAGTGGCTTAAGTGTACTTTTTGTACCTTAAAAGCAAGTGGAAATATATTTTCACTTGTAGGGGACCTCTACCCTGTCAGTAGTCCTAAAGCAAGCTGCTCAGATTGCAGTGAACTGGTTTAGAACTGCATTTGAAAAGTGTCTGACTTCAGTACTAAAAAAGTACTGTGGCCCACCTGTGAAATACTCAGGGCTATAATCGTAGACCATATTACTCCAGAGCTTTGCAACGTCCTTAGTCAGCAGATTGCATAGAACAGCACCCTGTCTATTTCTGGGTACGATTTGGAGTGGGGTTTTGATCTTTATAGAAACCATCTTAGCTATTTCCCTACATGCTTACCCAGAGCTTAAAATCAGATCTATAGCTGCTGACCAAAGTCAGAAGCGGCAGCAGGCACCTTGTATAACAGCTACTTGTTCCTGGACTCCAGTTAAGCTTCTCTCAGGAAGCTATAAGAAGGAGCAAACATTTTTTTTTTCTTAACTTAGCAGTATAATACAGTGGAAAGAACTGGATGTGGGATCAACAGAAACCAGCCTGGGTTCAAATCCCGGGTTTGATAATTACTAGCCGTGTGACCGCAGGGTAAGTAATTCCAGCTAACTGAACCCCACTTTTCTCATCTGGAAAATGGAGATTGTAACAATTTATATGCCTATCTCACAGGGTTGTTGTGAAGAAAGCATTTTTTAAACCCCAGAACTATGAACTTAGCTCTAGAGAAATGTGAATTTTTGTTGTGAGATGTAAAAATCCATTTCATACTAGTGTAGATTAATAACGTGGCCATGCATGTATAGGCTTTCCAGGTTTCCAGGCGATGACGCCCCACCGTCCACTCTTTAGTTCATAAAATGTGAGAATTTTAATAAGACAATTATTTTTTTTTTTTATTTGTGGAGACTATACTCCAAAGTGTAACTTTCCTAGAGTTCTGAATTCATTTAAGCCTAGCTTTGGTGACTTTTTGCTGCTTTTTTTTTTTTTTAATATAGTCTCAGACTTATCTGATCGTACTTTTTTGCATGCTTGGTCCAGTCTTGAATAATATACATGAGAAGCTCATGTACAGCCAAGGAACCTCCTGAGAATACTTTCATATGCCTGTTTGGTGGTAGCCATAACCTCAGAATACAGCTCAGAATGATATTAAGGGTTTTTTTTAGTGACTTTTAGCTTGACCTTCTGGGGAAAGAGATATAAGGGTACTTGTATTTTTAATCAATTATTACTGAATTGGATACTCTTCTACCCATGTGTTCTGCTTTTCTAATGGATCAATTTCCCACTTTGATCAAGAACGGGTCATGCCAGACTAACCTCATTTCCTTTTTTGACAGGGTTATTAGACTGGTAGATGAGGGGATTGCTATCAATTTAATATAACTAGTTTTGAGCTAAGCATTTGACAAAGACTCGTGTTTTCGATGTATACAAAATGGAGAGATGTGGGCTAGATAATACTACAGTTAGGCGTATTCACTGGTTAAATAACCAGACCCAAGAGTAGTTATTTATGAATCTGTGTCAACTTGTAGAGTCAGAGTTGTTCTCCTTTTTTGTGTCATGGATCCGTTTGGCAGTCTGGTAAGGCCTGATGGCCCCTTCTGAGACCTTTTCAGAATTGTGTTTTCAAGTTCATTAAATAAAATATGTAGGATTACAAAGAAAACCAATTGTATTGAAATACAACTATCAAAGTATTTAAAAAAAAAAACAGTTCGCAACTGTGAACTGTGGGATGATCTTTCAGGAGAGTACCCCCAAGGACACTGCTTTAACTTTTTCATCAGATCACCATAGATGGCATGTGCTTATCAGACTTACAGATGGTACATAGCTGGGAGGGAGGGATCAGGGAGGGGTTCAATGGAAGAGTTAAGATCCAAAAATATCTCCGCACACTAGAATGTTAGGCTGAATTGAGTGAGATGAAATTTAACAGGTCTCAATGTAAAGTTCTACAAAGCAGTTCAAAAAATCAACTTCACAGGTAAAAGATGGGGTTGGGAGGAAGGGTTGGGGAAGTGTGTGTATGGGGGGGGGGGGCCAGGGGGGGGGGGTTGGAGGCATGACTACAAAGCATTTGACCTGAAGAATGATCTGAGAATTTTCAGACAATATAAGTGCAATATTAAAATGAGTCGGCAGTGTGATATGGGGAGCCAAAGAAGCAACAGGTTATCTTTGGCAGCATCAAGACAAGTATAACATTTAAGAAGAGGGAAGTAAGAGTTCTACTGTATTCTGTCCTGCTCAGAACCATGTCTAGAGTATTATTGTCGCATTCCCAGGAGAGCGTTCAGAGGAGAGTGACCAAGATAGTAAAGGTCTTTGATTTCTTGCCATAAGAGAATCCGATGAAGGAACTGAGGGTGTTTAGCCTGGAAAAAAATTAGACTCAGGGGTTATGCTGAAAGTTTTTGAAGGGTGTTCATATGGAAGATGGAATAAATGTATTTTTTTCCGCTTAGCAAAACTAGGAGGGAAGACTAGGGAGCATGACTTTGTAAAGGAGAAAGTTTGGTCTTGATGTAAGGAAGAACTTCCTAACAATCCGAGGCATTCAGAAGTAGTATGTGATCAGAAAGTAATGGATTTGTCTCCCTCGGAGTTTTTGAAGTAGGCTGGATGACTTCTTGGCAGGGATTTGTGGAGGGAATTTTTATTCAGGTGCGGCTTGGGCCACTTGCCTCGGAGGTCCTTTCTAACTCAAATTCTGTGGTGTTGGAGAAAACAAAATTCCCGTGTTGTCCCATGATTTACTTTTTAAAATTCCTATACTGTACTTTATTTCAGTAATTGAACATTTATTAAATGCCTGCGATATACAAGAACATTGTGCTAAATGCTGGGGATATAGTTTTCTCTTCTACTTTTCATTTAATTTGAATTTCATTGAATTTCTTTAATTTATATCATACTTAGCAGCTAGTATAATTGAAAAAGAGCACTGAACTTGGAGTCAGAGGACCTGCCTTGAAATCCCAGTTCTCCTTTCTAACTGTGTGACCTTAGGCAAATGTCTTGCCCTCTCTGGCCCGCAGTTCCTTTGGGTATAAAATGAAGGGATTGGAGCGTTTAGATCTAGAAACTCCCCTCCAGCTTTAAAATCCCAATGATTGTGATGTGTGAGATCCCAAAGTCTCTGACTCCAAAGTCCAGCAGGCATTTGGGACAACTGGAACAGGTCCTAATATGGATACCAACAGTGCAGACAGCAGATGAAGGTTCAAATATGGATTGCCTTTAGGCTGATGGTATTACTCCACCCATGCTGTGATCAAAGAGAAGTTTGAAGGTCATGATTTGGGAATCTCCTAACTGCAACTCCAGGTTGATAAGAAGTTATGGTTCGGACCCAGGGAGCAGTTGTTTTCATTCTCAGCTTGCCTAAAAGCTTTTCTAGTTCAGTTGGTAGTGAACTGTGTGTCCGCGAAAGTCTAATTA